GGCACGAGAACAATACTTAATTCGAAAAAGATAGTATTTTTGGGCCTAAAACCCTCAATACAAGGGATAAGAGCTAGATGGGTTCTACTAATAGTATCAAAGTGTTTTAAAATGACAATTTATAATTTTTGTTTAGCAACACAGTCGCCACAAGTGATTGTGCCTCGTTCTATTAAACACAAGACTGCATCTATCATTTATCGGAATACTCAAAAATTTTTGCTGTATCATTACATAAAGTTGTTTTCAGCAGGCTCTGCTGTTTGTTTTAGGAAATCAGTACGGAAAAAGTGCACATAGAAAGGCTACGGGAGAATGGAAATCCGCTCCCTTGGTTGTTAAAATTGCTAAGGCGCCCTGATAATGCCGACTACGGTGTTGGCGAGGCGTTTGGATATGTACCAAGTCCACAATCTGACGCTGGAAACTATCATGCCTACTATGGCGGAGGAATTCGGAAAAGATCTCATTGACAACTTAACTTATTTTCTTTATTTTTTAGCAAATTTTCGTAAAGTATGATTTTCGGCTACTGCATAAATGACTAAAGCGTAATAGTGATTGAGCGGGTGGCAGGACTTATTCACACAAATCTGCAATACTCCTTCGAAAGTTCGAAATTCTTGCTCACTTCTTCAAAATTAAATGAAATGTACGCCAACAGACTCATCACTATTTGCAGACTTTTATCAAGGAACCCAAAATGAGGTGTGAGTCTTAGATGAATTTTGGTACTTGAGGACGAAGTGTGCACGACATGTCTGACGACGCAATCTGGCTTTACGTCATTTATTGCATAGACTTTCTCTTCGTTCGCAAGTGTGCAAGATTCGTCGGTCTCATCGGAATGTATCCATGTCGTTATCCATTGTTCCTTTCAAGTTCGCAAGACAACAAACTATTGATAAACATAATAATTCAAAAAATAATATATTTTATGCATATTTTACTTGATGTATCTTTTGAACATATAGATAAATAATTTTCACGACAGGAACTACAAATAACAAAAGTAACAGATTCCCTTGACATCAAACTGTTGTGTAGACTCTCATCTCGCATGTAAGTGTGCGTGAAGAAGAGATTTATAATTCGATTCACGTTGACGCCGTAATACAGAAATACGGGAATCGGCCGTCGACTTATGAACCCCAGCTGCTCTTCGTCCATACTCACGATGAGGCCTCGTTCACTCTTCGCCTTCAGAAGGCCACACCCAGGCCGGGACTCGAACTTGCCGTCTTCCTCTTGGTCCTCCTCCAACTTGGGCCACAGCTCCATCGTCAACCGACTCGGTCGCTTGGCTTCCAGCCCCAGTTGCTCGCTTGGTCGGGGTCAAGCTGAGGCCAGACGGTACGTCTACGAAGAGGCCAGCAACTACGCGTCGTCCTCCCTCACGCGCTGCCGTCTCGTCCACGCCCTGTTCTTCTGCCCAGCAGACACCTGCTGCCAGTCGTCGGCTCTTTAATAGCCCCATTATTGGCTTCATTCGCCTCTTCAGTCTTCAGAGTTCTGCTGAACTGTTTGTTTAGCTGCCAGCCTGGGGCTCTACACGCAAGTCTCCCTCTTATTGTCGTTCATTTGTAACCATTCCTCTCGGACACAGTTTTACTCACCTCCTCCCACCACCCCCACCCCCACCCTCCCTTTCCTAGCGCGGAGAACACATACTCGCCTAAATTGGCACATGCGTAATGCACACGCATGTGTGTCTACCGATGTGGGTGTGGATAGACGTCAACTTTTGGCATGGGCACACTATGTGTGCATACATGATTGTGTATTCGTTCTATCATTTCGGCTGAAATTGTGCAGTCCACACTGTCGGCAGCAGTCGGTGTGACCAGTCGACCAAGGGGTATGTAACCATTTGTCGGGCTTGTTGAGCACACCGACCCGGTCGGCGAACAACCAATTGTCCCAGTTTCGTCTCCGCCCCGTGGGCCCCTTGGTCGGATCCCCTCCTGGCTCCGCCAGCCCTCGGAGCCCTCCGACCAGACCCGGCCGGACGGCGGAGCAGGCGGCTGGCGCCTGACCGGCATGGAGGTGTTAAGTGTAACCATGTGGAGACCTGCTCAACCTGTTAGGTTGTCATCATAGTCGCTATACTATTCATCCTACAGACTCTCAAAATGCCTTCACTTCAGCTTGCCTCCACCCCTCTACCTGGCCTCACCATCTCCTCGTCTGACGCAGAATTGGGGAAAACAGTCTGTTCGCTGACAGCTACAACAACTACTACAACAACAACAACAACAATAACAACAACAACGACGACGACGACGACACCAACAGCAGCAGTAATGGTAAATGCCATGGCGCTACCGCCAGCCCCAGTTACAGCAGCAAAAGTTCTGAAAGCTCCGCCTGAAATTGTCATATGAGTTGTCTCTATGCTGCATCAAAATTCCGCACAACACCCGATAGGCAAATTTTATTCATCGTTAGACAAACAAACACACACACACACAAACACATGGAGCGAATCGATTTTGAGGGCCAATTTGGAAGTGAGCAGTCATAGGAATCTGTAGTACACGTTAACATGCTCCTACAAGCATGTTTCTATGCCCACTTGCGCATAAAGTGACTGTGGTGAGAAACTGCCTACTCATGCTTCTATGTGTGTGTATGTGTGGGGGTTATGAGGGGGGGAGAATAGATTTGGGCATGGAGAGTGGCGGAGGAAAATGACAGAATAATGAGTCGTGAAAGTGAGACACTAAGGGGTAGAATATGTGCCCAAGGGAAAGATGGCCAAACCAGATAGTGGCAAAAGTTGATGGGACCAAGAAAGCTATAAAAGGTGCCTCTAAAACTGGTGGATTCAGTTACACTCGGGCAACACCACTGACCATCTGACATTTCTTCCACTCATCATGCCCACCAGCCAACTGGCCCCACTCCTCTCGTCTGGCCGGTGCTCCCACCACTTGCCAGTCCAGACGCTCCGCTTGTGCAAGTACTCTGTCTCCCCTCTCCCTCTCCTTCGGCCCTCTCTTCGGCCTAAAATGCCCATCCGAGAAGCCCGCTTCGTTCATCAAGGCCCTGCCTTAACAAACCTGTACACACACACACACACACATACACACATAGATGCCCACACTTGGACACACTTGCAAGCGTGCACTTGGCCATGAGCTGGATAGGTGAGGCCTGCCCATGTACGTGGACGTACTCATGTTCGGACGCATACACACACACACACACACAAGCATGCCAGGCCAGCGCAGACATCTGCCCAGAGTCAATTGTGCATTTGACTGAATAGCCTTCCACAAAACAGGCGTCGGTATGGATACCTAATTATGATCAGTGGGACCCACAAGTGATGCCGAAGGTATGGACATGTATTCCAGTCAGCAAAATGATGTACCCTTTGTGCGGCTGCCTCCTGCCGGGCCAGTCGATTGGACGTTTTGCTCCCATCTGGCATCGGGTCAAAGAGGAGAGACATTGTGTTAACGAGCCACACTGACCGGACTCCGGCACTGCCCTCCTCGGGTGACGGTCTTCTGGAGAGGTGAGTGCAAAACTTACATGTTCCAACGCCATCAATGCACTTCAAAAGTCCTGTTCGCCTGCCTACCCTCGTGAAGACGGGCCTCGACCAAGTCCCTCGAGGATCAGCTCTCCTCTGGCTGAAAAA